GCAGAATGTCAATTTACTTGATGTTGTGATTGAGAATTAAATTATATCGGATATGATTGGTGTTTCATCCAATTCGAGAGACATGTTGCAATTATCTGATTCTTTATTATTGACGGTACAAATATTGTTCTCAATTGATACATCATTTGTTTCGAATTGTGGATTAAAATCATTTTTTATGTCATTGATTTCATTTAACTGTTGATCAAAAAGAAAGAATTTTTCATTAAAAAAGTCAAGTTCTAGATCAGTATTTCAATAAGGTTGGATAATAAATAATTTTTACTTATTCTAGAATAATTAATTGCTGGGTAAATTGATTATCGATCCCAATGAGCTCCCACGATTCACGAGTAAACCAAACATGCTCTGAGTTAATGGGGATCCCAATAGATTCTGGAGGATGAAGTCTTTAAGATGGAAAAATAATCGTAAAACAGAAAAAGAAAAAAGAAAAATCCTTGATAGTATAATTTTTACAGAATAGATAGACCGTTAATCGTAAACTGAACTTAATTAAGAAAATCATTGTATTAGTTTACACTTAAAAAACTAAAACAAACCCCCAAAAAAATCAATAAATCAAAAAACTCTGAAGATGAAACAGGATTATTGTGGAAGAAATTCAGGATGGAATTTCAACACTTCATTCCACATCAAAATCTTCAAATCCTGCATTGTTATTTCTTTGTTTTCGAATTCGAAATCATCAAGAGGAAATGCAATTGGCTCGTCAAATGGATCGTGTAATTCTTGCAGAAATACATGCTCAAGTGCTTGCTCAACAGTTATTCTTTTTGTTGGATCCCACGTCAGCATTTTAGATAGCAAATCCACTTCGTCGGGCGGAGCGTTTGGGAAAATATGATTAAATGGAATTCCTGGTTTTTGTTGAAGTGATTTAATGAATGCGTACGCTTTTTTATTTGTGCAGTCACGAAGATCATCATCGGTTGGTGACCCAAGCACTTCGTTGATCATTTCGAGCTGCTGGTAGGTATTTTGACCTGGAAAAATTGGCCTTCTCAACATCAATTCAGCCAAAATGCAGCCGACACTCCAAACATCGATGGCTGGGCCATAACTCGAATAATTCAATAATACTTCAGGAGCCCGATACCAACGTGTTGCGACATATTCAGACAAGAACTCGGTTTTCTCTTGCTGCTCGGCAACTCTGGCGAGCCCAAAATCGCAGATTTTTAATGACGAATCAGAATTCACGAGAAGGTTGCTGGGCTTCAAATCTCTGTGTATGATGTTAGCGGAGTGAATGTATTTCAGTCCACGCAAAACCTGATAGATAAAGTAGCGATGATGGCCAGGCTGCAATTGCGGATTATTTTTGATGACGTGGGCGAGATCCGTTTCCATTAAATCGAGAACAACTATAAGAGCTGAAAAATTGCTGAAATCGGGAATTGCTGAGACATCGATTAAATTCGTAATATTTTCGTGTTTTAAGTGCGAAAGGATTCTAATCTCGCGTAAAATTCGTTTTCCGTCGGCAACTGATTCAAAAATTCGTTCAACTCGTTTAATTGCGACCGGCTGTTGCGTTATTTTATTTTGAGCGGAAACGACGATGCCGTAGGCACCATGGCCAATAACTGACATGAGGTTATATCGATCTTGGGTCTCGGCTTGGAGAATTTGTATTATTTGATGTTGAAGAAGATTTTGATTCGTCATGGTGGAATACGAGCTTTTTCAATACTTATTTGATCATACAAGTCAAGGAATAACAGAATTCTTTACACATCTCCGCAAATTCAATACATACATCATAATCAAATGACGAATTAGTATCGCACAATTATAGTAACATTATTTCATATTTCATTAATCGCATATCAACAAAATGAAATTTAACAAAGACATGTTGATCGAACAAAAATGAAATTATTTTCCAAATATAAAGATATTATATTATTAATGAAATAGTTCTTTCATCAAACCTTCGCATTATACTCAACAAAGTTACATCTGAATCCTTTTGGTTATTTGCATGACATTTTCAATTCCTTTGAAAAATAAAAATGCCAAAAAAAAAAATTCAAAAAATACCCCTGATGGGGATCGAACCCATACCAGAAGATTAGAAGTCTCATATGCTATCCATTACACTACAGGGGCTTTACGATTTCGATTAAAAAATAGTGGTTTAAAGTTTGATAAAATCTTTTGTCATAATTAAATGTGAAAAGATAATTATATAATTATCCTTTTTTTCTTTGAATGCTGGGTAAAGTTTTTCTACGCTTATTTGGTTAGCCATATATATATTGAATTTTGATTAAGCATCGATGCTCATGAGTTTCGCAGTAAGCTCTCCAACAAAGATCTTTATATTTGTGTTTTTAATGTTAAAATCATGTAAGTAGATACTTATACCTCTATGACCTTTATAAATTCAAGAATTATTGTGATTACTGGTAATTGATGATAAAAAGTGCTAAAAACTATCAAATAAACGTACGCAAATGACGTTAATTCATATAAAATTTCGATAATGAGTTTTTTTTCAGCGAACCAGTTCCAAGATGAGAATGAGATTCAATGGGATGACCGATGTCATGTTATTAAACTTCTCCAAGAACAGGTCAAAAATTTAATGATTTATAAAACAGATTTCGAACAAATGAAAAAACGGGCAGAAATGGCAGAACAATTACTCGAGATGAGAGAATCAGAAGTAAAACTTAAATTCGATGAAATTGAAGAAACTTTTAAAACGCTTGAAGACGAAAATAATCGATTAAAAATGCAATTAGCAAAAGAAATGAAACGAACTCTACCAGAAATTTGCCTTCCAGAAAACAACGACAGTCAAAAAGCCAAAGAAAATAAATGGAAATTAAAATACAAAGCTCTGGCTCGAATTACAAATGGTACTGAGCGAAATGATGAAGTCAATATTGATTCTTCATCTTCCTTATTAAAGACACAATTAGAGGAATTAAAATGTGAGAATGAAGAAAAAAGTAAAAACATTCGAAAATTATCAGAAGAGCTACAAAAAGCATCAAGTGAAGCCAAACAGGCCAAAGAAGCAGTTGCAAAATCATTAAAGCATATAGCAAAATTAGAAGCAGAAAATAATTCTATGAAACAAGAAAAAAGTAAATTAATTGAAAGCAAAAGGCAAAAAGCCGCACTTTTGAATCACAGTCGTGTTCAACAAGAAAAAACGAATATAGCTCATAAGAAAATAGAAACTCATGCTAAAGATGAACTAGAAGAACAAAAGAAGAAATATATAAATCAACAATCGGAAATTATCAGAATTTCGAATTTATTGGATAATGAAACGAAAGCTAAAAAAGCAGCAGAAAGGAAAATTGTTAAAATGAAGAAATCACATGATGCTATTGCTCATAAATTACAAGAACAACTACAAAGTCTTCAAAGTAATAATCGAAAACTCCAAAATGAAATCAATGAAACCAAAAATGGAAAAGAAAAAATTGTTGTCGAATTAGATCATGTGAAAAATGAAAAAGATGAACTTGAAGCTCAACTTGTGAAAGCAGAAAAAATTCGAAAAAGGAAAGAAAAATTAGAATCTACTGTTGTTGAAATGCAAAAAACAATTGAGCATTTACAAAGTAGTATCTCTTCAGTCGAATCAGATTCGTCTGCCAAAGTTGAAGAATTGAAGAATTTAATGATTAAGCATTGGGGTGGAACAGCTTTAGCATTTGACTGGACAGATTGCTTAGGTTGTATTGAAGAAAAGTTTTCTTTAGTCAACGCACAAGAAAAAATGATATCTACAATGCAAGCTAAATTATCAAAACTCAAGAAACATAATAAAAAGATTCATAGTGATTTAATGCAAAATATGGAAACTTTAAGCCAAATACAGAGCGTTTCAAATCCTTCAGAATTATATTCTGATGATACTAGAAATGATCCACAAATTATGGTAAAAGAACCAAATGATCCATATAAGAATTTCAATCTCTTTAGGCATGCTTTAGTTCGAAGAATGAATAAGTTCTACTTTGAAAATGTTTCTGAGATTGAGCGTCTTCATAAAGTGATCACTGAACTTCAAGAACAAAAAGACACTCCAAATAGTAAATCACAGACAACTAAAGACAATGCAGATGATGTAAATCAAGAAGAAGGAATTTATGTTTCATTCAGAAGTATTATATTATTAACAGTTATTACAAAAAGGTGGGTTCTGTTTAAGAAAGAAGATCCTGTCGATAAAAGTGCAATTCTAGATTATGCTCCAAGTAAATCTCGAAATGCACCATCAAAATTAGCTACTTTGACACAAAAAGTTCAAATCATTATCAATAAATATCGACAAGTTGCAGCACAAACTGGTATTTTAACAAAAGCTAATCAAGAACTTACACAAAAACTACAAAGTGCAGAATCAGAAGCTAGAAAATGTCAAGCTTTATCAGAACAGCATTCGCAACATGCTGAAGACATTCAACAAGAAAATGAAGATCTCAAACATCACATTGATGATTTGAGTCATGAACTTTCTGTTACACAAGCTTCATTAAAAGAAAGAACACGAGAATTACTCGCACTTGAAAGAGAAATCATGAAGACTAAGAAGAAAGTGGTTATTGTAAAGGACTCAATCCCATTAACACCCCAATATACAAAAGCAGCATCCAGAATCAATGAAGATATGACACCAAATGGTAACTTTTTAACAGAAGCTATTCGAGGTGGCTTAGTTAAAATGCAAACCAAAATTCTGAGAGGAGATGAAATGATTTGATTCAATATTATTTTACCATTGAATATTAATGTTTGATTAAATTGTATATTATTCATATATTTTTCTTTGAGTTTTAGAGAATATTAGATATTCACAAAAAGGAATACTTTGTACTAAAATCAATATCTATATATATCATGTGATTTGGTTCATGAATAAAAAAAATATGAAATGAAATGAATGGAATTTAAAACAAAAGTTGATATAATAACATTGAAAATATCACCAAAGGGTGATATTTCACAAAGCCCTTGTAGTGTAATGGATAGCATCTAAGACTACGAATCTTATGGTATGGGTTCGATCCCCATCAAGGGTATTTTTTGGAATTTGACTTTTTCAAAGGATATCATTGTGTCATTCAAGGCCAATTAAAAAGATATTTTTAACCTTCCAAGGTTAAAATAGAAATGGATGAGAATGAAGCTCCACTCCCCACCAAGGAGGATGCTATCAAAGTATGTGATGCCATCTCATCCGATATATCCAAAATAAAAAAACTCAGTGACGAAGACGAAGATTTACGTTTCAAGTTTTATAAAAATATCGTCGATAATTTAGAAACCCTGAAAAAATACGAAGGAATCGATCACTTTTCAGATATACTTTTTGATTCATCACTCAACAGTCAATTTTCATTTCTCGTTTCGACTCCAAATACAGAAATATCGTCAAGCTTCATTTCTTTGCTCACAGACATTTGCGAGGACTCAACAACGATCGACATCATCAGACGTAGCGACTACTTAGTTACAGCCATTGCCGGATGCCTTCCTCTCGACGAGGTGAATATTCAAACCGACGCGCAATTTCTATACAATACATTCAATTTGATAGCGGTTATTTTAGATGGATGTGAAGATGCACAAGGTTTTGCTGACACAATTCTCAAAAACACAGAACTCTTAGAACTAGTGAAAAGACAATTCAAACGTGATGATTTTGATGAAAATGTTTTGGCAGCAACAGAAACACTTGCGATATTACTTCAAATTTATCCGCAGTTTATTGGGGAATCTGATTCGGAATTACTTCATCTTTTATTAAGGTTTGTTGCAAATGAAAGAAATCCAAAAAGCGCAAGTGAAGATGAAGCTGCACATAATGGCTTTAATGCAGTAACGCTTTTTGCAATAGATGAAAAAGGAAATGAAATGTTAGTTGAATTACGTGGAATAGAAATTCTTTTAAATGGTTGGTCATCTCACTCTAAAACAGCAATGCTTGCAATTAAATCGTTGGAATCTGCTTTGGCTGCTTCTACCCCTTGTTGTGAACAATTTATTGAATTCGGCGGAATTAAAAAATTATTTAGGGCATTAAATGATCCAGCAACATTAACGTCAAAAAAGTTGAGTACTAGAATTATTGGAATCCTTGATGCACTTTTAACAATGCTTCCCGACAATTCACTTTCATTTAAGCGGGTTTTAAAGAAATTTATTGAAAATGAATACGAAAAAATTTCGAAACTCATAAAACTTTCAGAATTTGTCTTTGAAAACGTGACTGATGATGATGCAGATTCAATGGATACTTTTCAATTATGTTCTTGTTGTTTGCTTATTTTATTGGCTTATTTGCCAAATGAAGCAAAAGCAGTGATTATTGAGAATCTGTCAAAATCTGAAACTTTAGATTTCCAACTTTTAATTGATACTGCGGAGCTGAGAATTGAAGAAGCACCTGCTATTGCAGATAAAGTACGTAATGGAATTACTATTTTAGTCCAACTTGTTGAAAATGTAGATTAAATATTATATATTATACACTTTTTGCCTTTCTTATTAGAATTATTAGTATTATTTGCAATACTTATCTGAGTAAAACTGTTTTTTCTGATGTGCGGACATATTGAAGCATTTTTCAAATAAGAAGACTATTCGCAAATTAATGAAATTCTTTCTGATTTAATTAAAAATAATTTATATGATATTTTAATGAAAAATATTGAATATTTAATAAATTATCTTGATTGCGGAGTTTCAGTTATTATGCTAAAATGTGGAAATGCCATTTCTATCGTACATGACAGTTTTTATTGAATAGATGTCGATCAAGTTTTCCATGATTTCAAAGAAACCATTTTCTAAAAATGAATGATACTGAAAATTTTTTTTGGTCAAAGGAGTGAAAACTGGAAATTCCAGTCAAAATGCTGAATATCACTGTTGCTTTACTTGTTCAGCATGCTGCGCTTGCAAACTCTCCTCTCCTTTCGCTTACTCACAGCCCGCTGACTCGCCGAATAAATTTTGACAGACTTACAATTCAACATTTCATCAATCCTATTTTTTATACGCAAAGCCAAACATTCAACTTGCTTTTGAGCCAATCAACATTTTCTAATGCAGTTTCGCAAGTTGCCAGACAAGACGAAATCAAAATGAAAGAATTCTCGGAACATCAAAATTATCACGAAGTCTTTTCTTTAGTCATTACTGGTTGCAGATTTTCTTCGATTTCATACGACAAAGGCGCTGGCGCTGCTTTCTGCGCAATTTCACAGCTTCATACCCTTCATATTGCCAATACACAATTTGCAGATTGCTACTGCGGCGGATCTGAATACATTGAAGGACTCACACATCAAGTTTCAGGCGGCGTCCTAGTTTTCACAGGTTCAAAGTCAGAAATTTCTTCATGCTGTGTTGTCAAAAATAATGCGATTGGCAACTCAAAAACTTTTCAAGTAGTATCGAGTGAAGAAGGTCTAAACAGTATCAAGTATTCTCTTTTTGTGAATAATGGGGATAAAACTAACTTAAAGGGCCATTCTTTGTTCAGCCTTGATCATGGGCGCTGCGAGGTTATTTCCAGTAACATCACAAACAATGATGTGCCAGGTGGCTATGCAGGTGGTGCAATTGGATTTGCGTCATACGGAAGAGCAGGCTACACACTTCTCAAGAATAACACCGGAAAAAGTGTTTTTGGTATTTGCGCACTAGGAACATACAGAGCATCAATTAAAGTTAATTTCTGCTTCGTTAATCAGAATACAGCAACAAAATATGGAGTTATAATGAGATTAACTAGTACTCTCAAACTTGATAATGTTATTTTCACACAAAATGTTGGTCAATACTTCTATGGAACTGCTCCAATTAAAGTTGCCCGATCAAACTTCGATTGTGATAAACCAGCCGGTCTCGTTGAGGATGAAGCCACAATGTGGAACGCGGCAGTCAAGCGGACGCTCAAGATAAAGGTGCCAGAGTCATGTGACCTCAACTATCCAATCAATAGAGCGAATGTGACAAAAAGGCACAGAACTGAACCTGGAAAATAAATAAATGCAAAAAATCGATACAAATTTGTTATTTTTCAATTTTCGTGTTTTTTTAGCTAGCTGTCTTGGAAGGATTTAATGATTTTGTTTCAAGAATGATTTTGTTTTAGAAAAAAAACATCATGCGACCTCCCTCCGGTCGATCTCAAGAACTCACCAAAAATATAACTGACTCACGTTCCATTCTGGAATTTTACTCCTCTCCATTTTCTCATATTAAACGGAGCCTTCTCAATGACTACAATATGAAATGTAGTCATTAATCACAAAATCTGGAATATAAATTCATGATAACTCAGATTTTAAGTTGTCTGATAAACTAGATAACAATATGGAAAAAAATTAACCAAATAAATGATGTTAATATGAACTGTTCATTAGTATTCATTCCTTGTTGTGATTTATCAATAAGAAATCTGACGAAACTTTACAACAAAAAGATCTCATTTCAAGTATATTATGAGAATATTCTCATCAATTTATCTATATATATGGTTTAGAGAAATCTCGTTTCATCAAATTAGTATGATATGGCAGGTGGACTGCTAATGTAAAGGGAAATTAAACATAATATTTGGTTTATATATATATTTTTCGGAAAAAGTATGATTGTTCATTATAGATTGAGATAGAGATCAAAGCTATTTTTTGTTGCAGCCCTACTATCATGTTTTTTGCAGAAATTGATGTTTCATTTCGCTGGCTGGACTTTTTGTGAGATGAAATAAACACATCAAATTAGATCATTGAAATAAATACATCAAATTGTATCATTGAAAATTAGTGAAAACAGAATTAAATTAACAATTTGAATAACCTTCCATATATTGAGTGATTTGAAAAAAAATTACAATTCTATTGGAATCAGTGAATTTTATTAAAAAAATTTTATCAAATGAAATGATTTCATAATTGTACAATGGTCCTTGTTGTTTCGGGTACATTTTTGAAAGTGCTACATATACTCACTTTTTGTTCACTTGTTCTTGCTGGAACATCTTATTTCATTTTTCTCAACCAATACAGATATCCATGGAGAATTATGACCAAATGCCCGCCTCTGAAAAGCTGTAATGCTTTGTTTTATTATAATTTTTCTTCTCTTGGTTTTGGGATCATTTCGTTTCTTTATGCAATTGCAGAATTTTTATTATTATTTGATATAAAAGGAATGCAAGCTATTGATACAAGTATTGTCAAACCAATTGTTTATATAGTAAGTGGTGTTGCTGTTTTAGGACTTTGTGGTGATTTGGGGATTGCTTCAGGTTCACTTTGTATTATATCAGGATCAGTATGGCTTCTTCTTGCATTGTGTTCATATGTTGATGATTGATCTCAAAATAAAATGATTTTAATGTGCAATCATAATTCCATGGTAATTTTTTATCAATATTTTTATATATATATAAAATAATATAAATTTCATCACAATGGGTGAATCATGAATATAAAGTATTAACTAGACCTATAAAGTTTTGACTCTTGATATTTTATTAGTATCATACATAAGAAATGTAATGCAATGCAATATCGAAGATATTTCATGAAATAATTCATTTTCCATAAAAATGATATTTCATAACAATTCATGCATGCATGAAGCATCTAAAAAAATAAATTTGAACAACAATCAGGTGAATAAATCCTTTAAAAGTTTTTTTTGTTTGGTGTCAATGAATGAGTTTCATGATTTGATAAATAAATAAGTTCCATCTCTTAGTAATTATTTCCGTTTTTATGGTTCCACACATATGATGCAATTTCCTATACGAATATTTATCATGATTTGATTGTAAAAATATTTGCTCAATATAGTGTAAATTCTTTTCAATATTACTCGAATAATCAACTTTGTTTGGGAATGTTAATTCGATAGTTAATGCAATGTATGTTCATTATTTTGCATGATATAAGAAGGATGAAATTAACTCTATTTTTAGAACCTATTTAATAAATCAAATGAACACTCAAGAAATTCGATATGAAAAACTTTTTTCTTCTCATGATTCTCACTGATTACTTTT